GGCTCTGTCTCAAAAAAAAAAAAAAAAAAAAAAAAAAGAAATGGTAAACCTTATTCTCTATCAGCTGCAGACCCACAGAATGAAAAGGCCAGCACTCAGGAGATGTTTTAGTTCACAAACAGATGCATGAGTTGCCCCTGCACTGCAATGAGAACCTGCATTATGAAAGAATCAAATCCTCATGTAACAATTTTAAAATGTATATGTATGTGCCTGCCAGAAAATAAACCTTTGCTAGCTAGATCCAGCTCAACAGAAGTACTTAAAATCCCTTCTGTAGTTACCTATTTCATAAGAAATCCCTGATGGAAGAAACAAGAGTTCCTCTGAAGCACAGACTTTCCAGTACCACTCATAAACTTTTCAATACAAATGAAACTCAGTTCACAGCAAGTGTCATCTGACTGGGTTTCTCTCCTTCATCCCCGATGTATACATAGAGGCGCATATGCTGCCAGGGCGTGCATGCGCGTACCCGCACTCACACAAACACACACACACAGCCAGGCATGGCATGCTTGTTGAAGATTTGAGCACTTAATTGTGAAAATGCAAGCACTCTATGTCAGGCTAGTCCTGCTATGACATCAAAAACCCCCACCAAAGCAAAAACACCCGGGAAAGTAGCCAGGAAAGGGAAACGCCTCCCTCAAACAGCCTGCAAAAGGCAATCCTGGTTCTGATTCTAGGCTGAAACTATTCTCGAACACCAGCCAGGAAGTCCCTTCTTTCAGAGCACTCTACTGCCCAGCAAACCCAGATCTGCCTTTGCAGAAGACAGATCTCTGGAGATTCAAGTCCTGGAAGGAGCTGGTTTGAGAAGGGGCTTCCCTGCTCTTGCTCTGCCCCTCTTTGGGATCCATCAGTGGCCAGATCTTCCATCCCAGCCCAGCCAACGCAAACACAAAGCTGGTGGCTGCACCCAAACACACATTTACTTATATACACACAATACGCACTTAAACATACATACCTTTCACCCTCCATTGTGTGAGGCCCAGCTGGGGTATTAGCCACTGAACTGTGCCCGCACCCAGGAATCCTAGCTCTGTTCTCGGTTCTCCCAGCAGACTAGCGGGAGATCTGATCAGCAACAGTGATTCAGCATGGCTGCAACTGAAGCCTCCTCCCTCTCGATCCTCCCTCCTCTGACTTACTCGCGGCAGCTTCTACCGCAGAAACAGCGACAGCAGAAAATGTCTTACCCAGAGCTCCCTGCAGCCCTTTCAGCTTCTAAAAGCAGCAACCCACTTGCTCCCCTCCCCCGCAGGCTTGCTGCTCCTCGGTCTCCTAGGAACAGTGGCAGCTCCAGCGACTCAAGTGCAGTGCCACCTTTCCAGCTGCCCCTGCCCCTGCCTCTGCTGAGGCATCCCCAGCTGAGGCAACTAGCCCATCCCAGGGGCTATTTGCCTCCTCTGTCTGGGCTGTAAAGAATCAGGTAGTTCCTCACTAGCCTGAGAAATACTAGTCCATACACTCTCCCCTGCCCCCATAGACATGGAATCTGTCAGCCTGACCAGATTGCTGGGATGAGGAGGCCCCTTTGTGGCCTGCAGCGGAGTTTTATCCACCTGGGGAAATTCACTTACGGATTACAGTTAATGTTCCAATTCCTCCTCCTAAAATCTATAATAGCGGAGTATCTGATAGATGGAGAGAAAGGGAAAAGAGCCTGATAGAACTGAGAAGAACACAGAGAGAAACTATTAAAAAAAAATTAGAAATTATAAAAAGAGAAGTAGCAGAAATAGGAGAAATTAAAATAAACCCTATTTTACCATACAGGCCAAAGTCTATTGCATAAAGCCATCACAACAAATACTGCACACATTTATTGTCCTATGCTATACTGAAAGACCACCAATTTTATAGCACAGTCCTAAAATATCTTCCTCAAATCTGTCATATTGGAATTGGCCCCAACTAGTAAGTCTCCCATTGAACCCCAATCTCCACCCAAAGATCTTTCACACCTTGTACTCTCTAATCTACTTAGACTCTCCTTTCTTGGAGTGCCTTTTCCAATTTCAGTCTTTTTATCCTTTCTGGTCCCATGTCTTCATAAAAACTTCCCAAATGACACCAATAATAGTCGATCACCTCCAAAATGTCAAAAAGACATTGTCAGCTACAAAATTTATTGTTCTTACTGCTCATCTCACACCTAATAAATCATCTTGGGTAATTTTTTATTTATATATCTTGTCTACCAAACTAAAACAAAATATCATAGAAGGCAGGAACCAGTCCGTGTCTCCTAGCCACATCCAAGACGCTCATAGGTAATTAGGGGCAATCAGCCACAAAAACTGGTTCAGAAGCTTCCCTAATGCCTCAGAAAAATAAGATGTGAATGTCTCTATTCTGGACCTCTCAGTGTTACACCTGGGCTTTCCAGGATCTACACTGGTATTCACTGGCTGAGTTTCCTAACTAACCTTTTCTACCCTCTGGACCTCATGCTCAGTCCCTCACACACCAGATGGTGCCAAAACAATCTCTAGAGCAGCGGTTCTCAACCTGTAGGCTGCAGCATTAGGAAGGTTGAGAACCACTGCTCTAGAGTCTCCTTTTAGCTCTAAACTCAACATGATTTTAAATGACTCATTTTTCTTCTTAGAATAATCAATTGATTGTTTAAGAAGAAATTCTACTAGACTCTAATATTTTGTAGGGGGCTTAGTACAGAGACACTCAATAAACCTACTGTTGTAATTTTCACCTGTTAAAATTTCTTCACTATTACACAGCCCTGAAACCATAGAGGGGACGAACACAGAGGTAAAAGAAACTAAAAGTAACTAAAACTTATATAGCCTCTTGAACTCAAAACTGCCTAGAGGGTTATTCTGAAAGATTACCTCACCTGATACCTCAGTGTTGTCTTAGATGAGGCCACTACCAAGCTCTGTCTCAAGTGAGAAGTGGGCCGGGTAATTTTATTTATACCCTATAGCCCTGAATCTTCACTTATTCATTTTATAACAATACTCACATCTTTCTCCCTCTATGCTCCTTCCTCTTCCAATCAGCCTATGGCTCTGTTCCAGATATTTTCTCTTGAGGTCAATCAGAGAGACTACAAGAAGCTGAACATCAAAAATAAGGAAAGTGAAATCTCAAAATCCATGCCAGAGTGCAGACATTCCCCAAGAAAACAAATGGGTCATTTGTAAAAGGAGATAAGAGATGCCTTCTCCTTTGTACCTACATTCATATCTTTACCATATGGGAAGGGGAGAAATGCCTTGTCTAACAAACCAGAAAGAAATAAAAAAGGTCACAAAGGACATATGTAAGAGCTGAACATCTTCAAGTTTCTAAATATAGCTATTAAGAGCCAGTATAAAAATCTGCAGAATTACTTTTGCAAATTTTTACCACCTTTTGCCATGCTAACCAATGTCACTACAACATATGAAGCAGAATCTTGGCACAAACTTCCTCCCATAATCTTCTTTGGTTTCAGAATTACATCTTATATTTTCTTTTTTTTTTTTTTTTT